GTGCTGCGGATTCTCGAACATTTTTTTATTACTTTTAAATAACTTGAAGTGATTTTTTTACTTATAAGTAACTTTTTACATTCTAGATAGTTTAATCTTTTTATTAATATTTAATTTTAAAAACTAAATATATGTATTACAAATAAAAGTAAAAGAAAAAAATGGCATAAACCTCCGTGCACGGAGGTTTATAAACTTTGTGCACAAAAGTTTTTGCAAATTATTTTGATATTCTTTTATTTTTTTATTTTTTTTAGCATATGTTTTTGTGTTCATTTTCAGGCTCATTGCGGGATATCAGACGAAGTCGAAATATTACATTCTTAATATCATTTTGAAGTAATTGCGGCATAGTGTTCCATACTTTATAAAAAACTCTAACTTCTAATCTTTTGAGCTAAATCCTACAAAATGGATAGATAAAAAAAGAGTTTGATCATATACATATATATTTAATTTTTTTCTTCGTATGATATTAATTTGTTTCGATTTAAATTTCTTTTTCATTTTATGATAAAACATAAATTTTTAAAATTTTAATTAAATTAAATTTATTTTAAATTTAAATTATTTCAATTTAAATTAAAAAAATTATTATAACTTTTTCGATTTTTTTATTTTTGTCTGCAATTCTTTTTTTTATTCTTTAATTTGTTAAATCATTTAATTTTCCTCATTTCACAGACACATAACTCGTGATTATTGAATCAAAATACATTGAGAGTTTTATTACTTTGTCAATTATTTAGCATATATATCACACTGTAGCAACTTTTCTTTCCTTTTTTTTTAATCGTGAGAGCAAAAACGACGTCATATCTTCAATCATTTTCTGTTTACTTTTTTCCCATTTTCACACGCTACAGTCATGCCTCTCTGCTTCTCCATTTCTGCATACAATCACCCATCATTTTTCACTGGGTTCTTTCTATTTCGTTGACCAAAAAATAATATCAGTCAAAATGTTTACCAACCATTTGAAAAATAATTTACTAAGGTAGTTCACTAAAATTCCCCTTAAAGTGGCTATTGCTCTCTCTCACTTCATGCGTGCTTTATCTCTCCACACCAAACGAAACCTTACCAGATTCCCTTACTCTTTCTCAAAAATTTGAGTTCTTGAAACCTTCGAAGAGGAGAGATCTTGAGAAGGCAACTACGGTATGAGGTGAGAAGGCAATCCAATCATAGACAGGTAAACAATTTCTTCTACTAGAGTTGTATAACAGTGCCTTCATATTGATTTCTCAATAATTCATACCCTTGTTCTTCAATCATTTACTATCCAATCAGTGCGCTTGTCTTTCATTTATCCTTATTTTTTTCTTTTTGGTTACATTTAATATCTGTTTTTATTTATGTTTGTGAAAGTAGCTACTTTATTGGGTAATTGCAATTGGGTTTTGAAAGTTCATGCTTTTTAAAGCTAAATTAGTTACGTTTCGAGTTTATTGCATGAATTTTATGGAAATGGCAATTGGGAATTTACATTTACATTTTTATGTTTACATTTTGGTTTTGTTTAATTAGAATGTTAATGAGGTAAAAATAAATCAAGGAGAAGCTTCCGAAATCAACACCACTTTGGATCCGAATTTTGTCGAGGTAATTACTTCAACTCTTCCGCTTTATATGTCAATGCAGTTTTTTTTCATGTTTACAATGCTGTGCAAAAGAGAAAAGTGTTGTGGTTATGCATGGTAAAGATTTTTAATGTGCAAGACAGTCTATGCTTGATTCTAAATGTTTTAATATCTTGCACCTTTACATGTGATGCTGATTCTGATCAATATTTTTGAATTGACTTTCTTTCTTTGGAAGAAAATGAAGTGTTCTGTACTAAGTTCAATCGTGAGACCTCTCAAACCTTAAGAAGATGTACACGGACGGTGTAAAATGAAATTTCACTTGAAAGGGCAAGAGGGAAGAAAACATCAATTTCAAATTCATTACTTCTTTTGTGTTCAAATAGTAGTAATTTGTTGTTTCTTCTATGTTCTGATGTTTGGGGTTTGCCACATATGGTCCCAGAAGAAGCAGATGATTTGTGGATGACTTATAATCTGATCGCTGAAGGTAATACCGTCTTAGCTGTCCAGGTACCTTTTAGTTTCAATTTCAGATTTTTCCTTCTAATTCTTGTATGCATTGGTTTATTCCATGTTTTTGCTATTTCTAGAATATATAGCTTTGCATGAATCATAGTACACTTTTTATGTTGTATTTCGAAATTAGATAAGAATGCCCTATTAGTACTGATTGTTATTACATGTGGGAAATTTCTGGCTAAACTTCAACTTCATCTTGTAAAGGAAGCATCCAATCGTAGGACCTTAATATATTATCTTCGTAATTCGTTGTAGGAAGTTTTGAGAAAATTTGCTTCCGGAGGAAGAGATGCAGAAACTAAAATTTGAAATCAAAGTAGAGGTCAAATATTTTTCACAAATAAAAAAATTCAATTCAAAATCTTGAATTATTAATAAAAACACTAAACCTTTGCAGATAGCAATCTTCAATAATCACTCAATATACCTTCTAATCCACGAGTCTATTCGACTAAAAAAGAATAAAGATTGAACACAACAAATGAGATCACCAATGCAAAATTTAGGACTACGTAATTTATACTAATTCTTAGCTTTTTGCATCTTGTGTGTGTATCATGTTAAGCAACTTTATATTCATTTTATCATAAAACGGCATGCCCGATCATCCTCAGGAGCGTGAATATATTTATTTTATCTTCGTATATAGCAGCAAAATACTACAGCATTGAGAATCATATTTATTTTCACTTTTATTTTAGGTCCCTACTATAGTATAAGAGCCTTAATCTCCGGGTGAAGATCTTTTGACTATTTTTTTTTGTTTTCAATTTTCAGATGTTGAAAGAGCATCTATAGCCTCTACAACCTTCTATTCAGGTTAGAAGAACATTTAGGAGGACTTGAGCAGTTGAAACAATATAATGTGTTAAAACAATATGATGTTTTATTTATTTTTCTTGTCTATAAAACTAAACATTGATGCAAATATTTTTCATGAGTGGAAAATTTTATTTTGATCGTATTAATGGAAATGGCAAAATGCAGCTAATATGGCACTAAATTTTCTTCGTTTAACTTTAAAATTTTGTTTAAATATTTAATTTTCTTATCTTATAATAGGATTATCAATATGTGTTGATCGTTGTTTTTATTTCTTTTATTTCTTTTTATTTCAATTTTTAAGTTCCACAATATAATGGATAACATTGGAGCAGCATGGGAAGGTGCTAATGATGCTTGCATTTCCATTTCTACAAAATGACCGAGACCAATTGTTTTTCCAACCATTGACAATGTTGAATTTATGCCCTAAGTTTGCTAAATATAATCTAGGATGGAAACATACTAAATCTTGTAAAAATTTTGCTCAAGTTTGAAGACTTTTAATAAATGATATTGTAGCAATTTTTGGCATGGAAATAAGGTCTTGAGAAGGATAGCGGATTTCTTTCCAGATCATCGCAATAATATATTTATCTTGTTGAATATCTCTATTTTATAATGTTCCGAAAATTTAAATATTGGTTGATACAGTTAGGACAGAAGTTCTCACAACCACCAATTAAATATGTGAACTATTTGAAAACAAGATCTATGCTGAGCATCATTGACCTACAGAATTATGAGAAGAATTCTAAGAAAGGATTGTATTATACATATCATCTATAGAATATGTCAATCTTTAATTTTTGCTTTATCTATCTGTCTATGGTTTTATATCTTACTATTTTGATCCAGTTGAATTTCTCTACATCAGTTTGCTTTCTTATTACAAATTCAATTATTTAGAGATAGATGGTTGAAAATCCTTTCAAACAATTATTAGTTCAAAATGTAATTAATGAGAATTCAACATATTTAATACACTAATATTACCTTGAAAATAACACAGCCCGTGCATTGCACGGGCATGTGACTAGTGCTATTATAAAGTGCTTTAAAAAATTACATATCATTTTTTTATTGTCATGGTTTTAGTATTTATAGTATTCTTTTCATGCAATCTATTTTAATTTGATAGTATTCTTTTGTCATACTTTTAGCTTAAGTAGCATCTTTTAATTGTCATGTTACATCTTTTATAACATTCTTTTTCATTATAATTTTTAATAATTATAGCATTTTTTAATATAATGTATTATTTTTAATAGCATTTTTTTATTGTAATGTCTACATATTACATAGTATTCCTAATTCCTTAATTATCAAATGTAAATATTCAATATCATTATTTTTTTGGACAAAAAATATGAACAACAATAACAAGACCAATAATACATTCAAAACATTCTACAATATTGAAATTCATTGAGAAATCTAATTATATTTCATCTTCATATCAAACACTGGCGGCAATATATGCTTGAAAAGACAATAAACAAAATCAAATTAGAATAATCTCATTCTATTTCTCCCTTGAACTCTTGCAACAAGTCTGGAGAAGACATCCGTCAATCCAATAAAGCATTTAAATCTAAAAATTAACAAGTGATACAACTTATTAGATTGTAAAATAATTTAAAGTAAAAACATTCAAAATTCTAATTAGTGCTCGAAGATGTTAGCGTATAAAATTTGACCTTTTAGTCTATGCTATTTACTCGATGACAACTTTGTCAATTGGCCATGCAACTGTGGTACCAACACATTCTTCAATATAAGTCATATCAGAAGTAGGCCTCCACAAGAATGCATTAGGTTTCAAAGCTATATCAACCTAAACTCTCACAGCTTTAGGTCCTAAAGGAATGTGATGAACCAATATTTTTGGATCATTTGAAGACCAACGTCCTTTTGTTACCTCTTCTCCTGTTCCGATCCAATCTAGTAACGCACACTTATTGTTGAGTGTATTAGTGTTTACACTCTTTAATAGCACAAATTTAGGAACCAGGTTATAGTCAATTTTAAAAATAACACAAATTTAGGAGCCAGGACAACTTATGTTGTTCCACCAACAAAGGAACTGAGAGCTGCTTCAAGCTTTGAATCGAACCAAAGGGTTAGAGCAGCAACAATCACTCCCGAAATTTTTTGGAATTGTTACGCCGGTCTTTCTTGAAGTTAATAGCACCAATGAAAGTTTTGAAACCTCTATCTATCCCCAAGAATTCCCTGGAGCAAAATTTACTTGTCATTTTTAAATGCTGTCCAAATTTCTCTATTTAAGTATTGTCCTGTCTAATTCATTCAATGCGTGGTATACAAATTTATCAAGCCATGTATAAGGATCCTTCATTTCTCCAACATAATAACAGATAAAACAATTATGGTGAGTTAAATGTGTACTTTTAAATACGATTGTTCAAAACATATCCAAGATGAGCAGAAATGAATCTACTTGATTTTGGGCAAATTTACAAAATGTTTTTAGTGCTTAAAAATTTACTTAAATCTCTGTATGTAATGAGAAAGGAACGAAATTTGTAAATCTAGAAAGATAAGTTCATACACCACAACATATTATAACGGATGATTCTGGTTTGACATACCCTCTACCAAAAAATTACATAGAAACTTTCGCTCAGATTCATGAACCGAAAAAGCAAAAAAATATATATATACCTTTTTAAGGTAGTGAAGAAGAAGCAATCTCCACCGATCTCCTGATTCACAGCTTATATGCTTCAAAATCCCTTCCACAACTAAAAAAATAAAAACTACAGACCAAAGAGAATGATAGAATCAACAGCATGGTGTGAAAATTTGATATGAATTCATTGTTATTTGGGGGATTTTCTGAACCATAATTAATCGGAACCTACCAAAACAGAGAAATGGAGAAAGCAAGGAAGATGGAGAATTGGAAGGAAATAAAATTTTAGGGTAGAAAAGTCGGGATTTTTATTTTGGCAAGATATGGAGGGAAGGATTTTAGGCTTTTTTAATTTGGTGGCCTGTTAAAAATGCTATTATATTATATTTAGATAAAGTTCATTTTTAATTTACAACATTATAAAAAAAAATGCTATGTTTAAATGTTATAAAATGTATAAATTATTGTAGTGTTCTATAATAAAGATGACACGTGGGAAAGTACTGAAAGAAGAATGAATTTCTTAATAGCATCATTTGAAGGTGATGTTAGAAATTGATAAGAAGGAATAAGTAATGATATAAAAACATTAATAAATAGAAATGTACAAACAGAAATAATAAAATCAGATAGACAAGGTCTATAAAAGTTCATAGAATATATTTCAGATAAATTTTTAGGAGAAAATTGGATAAGAAATGCCGAAGGAGAAGCAATAACAGAAAAAGACAATGCTAGGATTAAATTAATAAATTTAACAATATGGGATATGTGTAAAATTAAAGAATATACTTGTGAATTCAGAAATTATTATTACACTCAATTTTATAGTAATGAAAATCAAAAAGTATACCAAGATATGTATTATAATAAGTTGTCAGGTTTATGGGGAATATATTTTAAAATAGAATTTGAAAAATATGTCAGAGATAATATTGGAATACCTAGAACTTTAGGTTCAAGAATAAAATTTTTATTTGAAAGATTTGTGTATATATGTCAACAAAGATAATTATTGAAAAAATCAGGAAGATTAAATAGAATATGTTGTGAAGATATGGAAAACCCTATATAATGGGAATGTAATCCTAAAACAAGGGTTAACAAAAAAATATAAAAATAAAAAGTTTAAAAATTTTAATAAAAAAATATATAAAATCTAGAAGAAGATATTATAAAAGAAAAAATATCTCATATGTTCAACAGAAAAATAAAAGTTATAAAAAAAATAAAAGTCAATGTAAACGTTGGAATTGTGGGGAAATAGAACTTATAAGCTCTGATTATGATAAAAAAAAAGTTAAAATATTACCAAAAGAATATTTGAAAATAAAAGATGAATAAAGTGAAATATCAGATATTGAACAATATTATAATCACGAAGTATATATAAATGAAACAGATGAATCGAAATCTGAATAACGAAATACAGAAAATAAAAAATAATAATATAAATATACAAAAATATGAAGGAATAGAAGGTTATGGATTAAAAGTTACATTTGATAATGATAAATCTAAGAAAATACAAAAATCATCTTTAGATTTAAAAATAGAAAAATGACATAATTTGAAAAAGAGAAAGGATAGCAATAAATGAATATCATAAGATTGAGAAAACTATAGATGTAAAAACAACATATGGAAATCATAAATTAAATCTTTTAACAAAAAATACAGTTGAAGAACTATTAACAAATGTCAGTGAAAAAATTCAATATGTTTATCTAGCAGGAATATAAATAATATTTAAATAATTATTCAGAGAAGGGATAGACTCACCCTTAATTATAACCTTACATGATGGAAGAATAATAAATCTAAAAGATAGTCATTTAGGAACATTAGAAGGAAATTTAGCATATCAAAAAATAATGTTTACATGCTACCCAAAATATTGTGTGTCATTGAAAGATAGAAACTTTAATAAAGTTTTAGGATAGCATTTTAAGCTATACAGAGATGATATCATGCAATCAGATGATCAAATTATAACTATAGAATATAGAGCTTTATATACATTTGCCAATTCTAATTATGAAAATATTTATTCCAATAAACTATATATTGAAGTACATAAAGAATGTAAGGATATTAGTAAAATAATAGAACCAAATAAACAAATAAGTTTAATTCCGAAAGAATATGAATTTAGTATTACAAGAAATAAACCTGAAATAACAGAATTAAATGAATGAGAATATTCTAATAATATAACATTTAAGGATGGAAAATTAATTAAAAGATCAAAAAGTTTTAGAATACCTAATAAAAACCAATTAGAAGAATTTAATATTTACATGCTACCCAAAATATTGTCTGTCATTGAAAGATAGAAACTTTAATAAAGTTTTAGGATAGCATTTTAAGCTATACAGAGATGATATCATGCAATCAGATGATCAAATTATAACTATAGAATATAGAGCTTTATATACATTTGCCAATTCTAATTATGAAAATATTTATTCCAATAAACTATATATTGAAGTACATAAAGAATGTAAGGATATTAGTAAAATAATAGAACCAAATAAACAAATAAGTTTAATTCCGAAAGAATATGAATTTAGTATTACAAGAAATAAACCTGAAATAACAGAATTAAATGAATGAGAATATTCTAATAATATAACATTTAAGGATGGAAAATTAATTAAAAGATCAAAAAGTTTTAGAATACCTAATAAAAACCAATTAGAAGAATTTAGTAATATAAAAGAAATAAAATTTTATAGAAATGCTAAAAATATGAAAATAGAAGAAGAATAGTATAATGGAAGAAAATATATAAATTGACCAAATATACTAATAGATATAGGAGCTAGTGAATGTCATATAACTTCAATAAAAAATAAAGATGTAATAACTCATAAAACTAATCCATATAGATATGTAAATTTTGATGGAAAAATACATATTTCAGAATTAGAAGTTAAAGTAAAAATAAAAATATGAGGAATAAACATTTTAGTGCCATGTTATATAGATAAAAGTATGGATAAAAACCCTCATATGCTTTTAGGAATGAGTTTTCTGAATGATTTAGAAGATTTTAGTATAAAAAAAGAAGAATTATACATAGTCCATAATGGACAAACTATAAAAAGAATTAAATGAATAATCAGATAAGTTTTTCATTCGTTGTATATATACAAGTTACTATTGTAGAAACAAACACAACAACTTGTGCTTTAATAAATGCAGGAAGTGATATAACAATATTTAAATTTTTTTGATAAAATCATCGAATAGTAATAGTAATATAAAAATAACTGAAATCACAGGAGAAATCACTCGAATAATTAATAGTGCTGATAAAGTTAATATAATTCTTAGAAATAAACAAATTACAGTAAATAAAATATATAAATATGATAAATTAGAATGTGATATATTATTAAGAAATGATTTTATATAACAATTTCAATATTATAAACAAAATAATTATATGATAATATTACAAACACCTTGCTCACACTTATTAAAAATTCCAAAAGAATTTAGACCTTATAGAGTTCAGCCAGCCCAGTGTGATGATAAATGAGAGAAAAACCAATCATATTTAATGAAATAAAAATAAAAGAATATTTTATAAAAAAGTTCTAAAAACGGGAATTAAAAAAAGTTTATAGAGAAAATTCATTATTATTTTGGAAACTACATCACCCTAAAGCCAAGATAGAATTAACAGAAAATGTTATAATAAGAGTTAGACCTATGATGTATACTATAGAAGATACACAAAACTTTACAAATGATGTTTAAAACTTTACAAACATTCAGAATAAGTTAGAGGAAAAGCTAGGATTGTTATAAATTATAAAGAATTAAATAAATATACTAAATTTGATGGATATTTTTTACCAAATGAAGAAACTTTAATAAACCTTGCAAAAGAAAAATAATATTATTCTAAATTTGATTGCAAATCAGGATTTTGGCAAGTAAAAATGGAAGAAAGTAGTATACAATATAATGCATTTAGTACACCTCAAGGAAAATATGAATGCTTAATAATACTATTTGGATTAAAAAATGCACCAAAAATATATCAAAGAAAAATGGATAATATATTTGAAAAGTTTAATGAATTTCTAATTGTTTATATAGATGACATATTAATATGTTTCAATAGTAAAGAAGAACATATAAATCATTTATTCTAATTTATAAATGAATGTAAAAAAAAGAATGAATTGTACTTTCTAAAAAGAAATTTATAATAGAAAATTAGAAATAGACTTTCTTGAATTATCAATAGATAAAAGGAACATATATTGCAGAATCATATATCTAAAAAAATAGAAAGCTTTTCAGATAAATTAGAATCCAAAAAATGAATGTAAAAATCCTTAAGATGTTTAAATTATATAGAAGGGTTTATTGAAAATCTTTCTAAAAAAAGCCATAAAATACGAATTTATTTTGAAAAACAAATACTAAAGGATTGAATGAAGAACATACAAAAATAGTTAAATCATTAAAAGAAGAATGTAAAAATTTACCAAAATTAAGATTACCATATAAAAAAGATAATTTAATTTTTAACACTGATGCCTCAGATAAATATTGGGCAGCAATATTAAAAACATATTTAAATAAGATTTGTAGATATTCAAGTAGAACTTTTAATCAAGCAGAAATAAATTATACTACTCATGAAAAAGAATTACTAGTAATTATTAGACGAATAAAAAAGTTCTCATTATTTTTGTTATTTAAAAAATTCTTTGCTGAAACCGATAATTTTCAAGTTGCAGGATTGGTCAAGAATAAACTACCATCAGAACTTCAATACAGAAGACTCCATAGATGGTAAACTTATTTAGCATTTCATAATTTTGATATAGTTCATATTAAAAGAGTTAAAAAGATTTTTGTAGATTTTCTTAGTAGAAATATAGAATTTGCTGATGGATAGAGCCAAGGTCATGGATTTATACCAATCTATCTTACATATACAAAAATTGATAGATTTTCTTAAGAATCTAAAGACATAAATACCGGAACAATACAGATCTCCGAGTCTGTGAAACAATACTTCTTTCTCATGACATCGAATGGTCAAATGATTAAGATAAGCCCACTTGTAATATTTTTCCCGTCAATCTCTAACTTCATAGCCTTAGTCATCCAATTTGTACAAAAGAGTTCTTCTTAAAGGGATACTAACCTCTAATTTATTATTCATTTTCACACATGCAAAGTTTGACCTAGCGACGAAGGATGTAGAGATAAAAGATTTGTAGC